AGTCTGCTGGGGAAGAGAAATAATACTGTCAGTCAGTATGACATGCAGATGAGTGCCGTCGATCTTAGAATCACCGCACACTTCACTCATTTGGGCAGTCACGGGGCCAAAACCAGAGTGTGGAGCCACAGTGTGGCGGTGGAGGCAGCAGCAATGGGAGGCCATACAGAACCCTATGACAAAATGGAACCCACCAGCAGTGTGAGACCTGAAAGTGGCACATGGCAGAGTGTGGCGATGGAGACAGCAGCAATGGGAGGCCGTACAGGGACACACTCTGGACCTGGCAGCAGCATGAGGAGGCGGGGTACAGGGGCCCATGACAGATTACGGGCCTGGCAGCAGCATGAGGAGTCAGTACGGAGGCCCATGGCAGATTACGGGCCTGGCAGCAGCAATGGGAGGCCGTACAGGGACCCATGACACACTCTGGACCTGGCAGCAGCATGAGGAGGCGGTACAGGGGCCCATGACAGATTACGGGCCTGGCAGCAGCATGAGGAGTCGGTACGGGGGCCCATGGCAGATTACGGGCCTGGCAGCAGCAATGGGAGGCCCGTAATCTGCCAGCACCCTATGACAAAATGGAACCCACCAGCAGTGTGAGGAGACCTGAAAGTGGCACATGGCAGAGTGTGGTGATGGAGACAGCAGCAATGGGAGGCCGTACAGGGACCCATGACACACTCTGGACCTGGCAGCAGCAGCAGCAAGAGGAGGCGGGTACAGGGGCCCATGGCAGAGTGGCGAAGCGTAAGCAGCTTAAATTGAAGGCCATACAGAGGCCTATGTTAAAAATAATAACATGTTTGGGGCATGATTCATGGCGGATTTAGTCAGTTGTGTCAGGAACTGGTGGTTTGAAATCCAGACTAATCCACGCCTGATTCATTTTCACAAACGTGAGTCTCTCCACACTTTGGGTGGACAGTCGTGTCCTCCGCGGAGTTACAATACCTCCTGCCGCACTAAACACACGCGCTCCGATGCCACGCTACTGGCCCGGGCATGACAGCCTTTCAAGGGCAAATTCAGCTAGTTGGGGCCAAAGGTCAAGTTTCGTTGCCCAGTAGTCAAGGGGATTGTCTACCTCGGTTGGCAGGGTGCTGTCCAAGTAGGCCCAAGCCTGTTGTTTGAGGTCCTGCTCCAGGTCCACCTGATGCTGCTGCTGCTGCGGCTGGTTAGTAGTTTCCTCACTGCGCTGGTGAAGAAAGCTACTCATCATCGACTGCAGACTGAGGCAGCCGCTGCTGGTGGAGCTGCCACTGCTCCTACCACCCCACCCCTCCCCTGCTGCCATGGCAGCGGAACGCGAGCGCACAGGGCCCACAGTGTCTGAGGATGGACGTTGGCGCAGAAAGGCAGAGACCAACTGACTACATAGGTGGTTTTTATAGTACGTTATTTTGGCCTCCCTCTCAGCAGTTGTGAAAAAGGCCACCATTTTTGAACGGTAGCGAGGGTCCAACAAGGTGGACAGCCAAAAGTCATCCCTCTGTCTGATGGTTATTATTCGGCAGTCGCTACGCAAGCAAGCGAGCATGCTATGGGCCATTTGTGCCAAGGAATGCGAGGGACTCCCTGCCTCCATCTCCACAGCATACTGCCACGGTGCGTCTGGGTCCTCTGTCTCCTCCTCCTCCTCTACCAGATGCTCCTGCTCCTCCACTCCTGTCCAGCCGCTGAGTGGAAAAACCACCCATTTCACTCAATAATTCCTGAGCACCAATGTCCTCCTCTACCTCCCTCTCTTCTTCCTGTCCTGCCCCCACAGGGGTCATGTGGCGTTGAGATCTGTGCGCCACGTCTACCGCACCCTGACCAGCCATTGTTAACAGCATTTGTTCCAGGACGTGCAACAGAGGAATGACGTCGTTCATCCCATAGTCCTGCCGACTCACGAATAGCGTGGCCTCCTCAAAGGGCCTGAGCAAGCGGCAGGTGTCACGCATGAGCTGCCAATGGCTGACATCTAAGTTACACAGGGGAGTACCTTTATCCGCTTGTAACATCAGGAAATTGGTGATGGCCTTTCGCTGTTCGTAAAGGCGGTCTAACATATGTAGGGTTGAATTCCACCTTGTTGCAACGTCACAGCATGAGGAATCGGTACAGGGGCCCATGGCAGATTACGGGCCTGGCAGCAGCAATGGGAGGCCCGTAATCTGCCAGCACCTTATGACAAAAAATGGAACCCACCAGCAGTGTGAGGAGACCTGAAAGTGGCACATGGCAGAGTGTGTGGCGATGGAGACAGCAGCAATGGGAGGCCGTACAGGGACCCATGACACACTCTGGACCTGGCAGCAGCATGAGGAGGCGGTACAGGGGCCCATGACAGATTACGGGCCTGGCAGCAGCAATGGGAGGCCCGTAATCTGCCAGCACCCTATGACAAAAAATGGAACCCACCAGCAGTGTGAGGGAGACCTGAAAGTGGCACATGGCAGAGTGTGGCGATGGAGACAGCAGCAATGGGAGGCCGTACAGGGACCCATGACACACTCTGGACCTGGCAGCAGCATGAGGAGGCGGTACAGGGGCCCATGACAGATTACGGGCCTGGCAGCAGCAATGGGAGGCCCGTAATCTGCCAGCACCCTATGACAAAATGGAACCCACCAGCAGTGTGAGGAGACCTGAAAGTGGCACATGGCAGAGTGTTGTGGCGACGGAGACAGCAGCAATGGGAGGCCGTACAGGGACCCATGACACACTCTGGACCTGGCAGCAGCATGAGGAGGCGGTACAGGGGCCCATGACAGATTACGGGCCTGGCAGCAGCAATGGGAGGCCCGTAATCTGCCAGCACCCTATGACAAAATGGAACCCACCAGCAGTGTGAGGAGACCTGAAAGTGGCACATGGCAAAGTGTGGCGATGGAGACAGCAGCAATGGGAGGCCGTACAGGGACCCATGACACACTCTGGACCTGGCAGCAGCATGAGGAGGCGGTACAGGGGCCCATGACAGATTACGGGCCTGGCAGCAGCATGAGGAGTCGGTACGGGGGCCCATGGCAGATTACGGGCCTGGAAGATGACGACGAGGCTGCCAAGTGTGATCAGCCTCATCATCATCATCAATTAGGGTCTCCGCCTCACTACTAGCCCCCTCGGCTGCATATGGGTCAGGAGACAGACTTGTCTCTAGACCGGCTACCGAGCCACTCTCCTCGCCAGAATTCTTCGCCTGGCTGCTGAAGAGGCGGATGTCTCTCCCCGTTCCTGACCGCCCTCTGTTAGCTCTTCCTCACTGTACAGTGGGGCTGAGCCCACACAGCATGCGATACTGCCGGGCCATGCCAACTAACGGTTGTGTGTCTGACGTATACCCACCGACCGTTGGCTGTAGGTGTCAGAGGTGACCTGGGAAGAGGAAGACGACCGAGCCAACCAATCGATGACAGCAGGGTTGTCAGTGGAGACACGGACCCTACTGGATGACACCGGGAGCACTGGCCTCTGGCTGCGACTAGTGCTGCCTCGACCCTTCCTCTGCTGCCACGTTTGCTCGCTCCTGAAACATTGCCTACTCTGCACTCCTCTGCGTGTTGTCTGACATACTCTTTAATTCAACGATTCTGTGTCCCTGAGTAACGATTCTGTGTCCCTGAGTAACAATTCTGTGTCCCTGAGTAACAATTCTGTGTCCCTGAGTAACGATTCTGTGTCCCTGAGTAACAATTTCTGTGTCCCCCTGAGTAACAATTTCTGTGTCCCTCAGTAAACGATTCTGTGTCCCCTCAGTAACAATTCTGTGTGTCCCTGAGTAACAATTCTGTGTCCCTGAGTAACGATTCTGTGTCCCTGAGTAAACGATTCTGTGTCCCTGAGTAAACAATTCTGTGTCCCTGAGTAACAAAGTGTCTGTGTCTGTCCCTGAGTAACAATTCTGTGTCCCTTAGTAACAATTCTGTGTTCCCCCTGAGTAACAATTCTGTGTGTCCCTCAGTAACGATTCTGTGTCCCTCAGTAACGATTCTGTGTGTCCCTGAGTAACAATTCTGTGTCTGTCCCTGAGTAACAATTCTGTGTCCCTGAGTAACAATTCTGTGTCCCTCAGTAACGATTCTGTGTCCCTCAGTAACGATTCTGTGTCCCTGAGTAACAATTCTGTGTCCCTGAGTAATGATTCTGTGTCCCTGAGTAACGATTCTGTGTCCCTGAGTAACAATTCTGTGTCCCTGAGTAACGATTCTGTGTCCCTGAGTAACGATTCTGTGTCCCTCAGTAACGATTCTGTGTCCCTCAGTAACAATTCTGTGTCCCTGAGTAACAATTCTGTGTCCCTGTCCCTGAGTAACAATTCTGTGTCCCTGAGTAACAATTCTGTGTCCTTGAAGTAACGATTCTGTGTCCCTCAGTAACGATTTCTGTGTCCCTGAGTAACGATTCTGTGTCCCTGAGTAACGATTTCTGTGTCCCTCAGTAACGATTCTGTGTCCCTGAGTAACGACTCTGTGGTCCTGAAGTAACGATTCTGTGTCCCTGAGTAACGATTCTGTGTCCCCTGGTGAATAAGTAACGATTCTGTGTCCCGGTCCCTCAGTAACGATTCTGTGTCCCTCAGTAACGATTCTGTGTCCCTGAGTAACGATTCAGTCTGTGTCCCCCTGAGTAACGATTCTGTGTCCCTGAGTAACGATTCTGTGTCCCCTGAGTAACGATTCTGTGTCCCTCAGTACAATTCGTGTCCCTGTGTCCCCATCAGTAACAATTCTGTGTCTCTGAGTAACAATTCTGTGTCCCTGAGTAACAATTCTGTGTCCCTCAGTTAACGATTTCTGTGTCCCTCAGAAACAATTCTGTGGTCCCTCAGTAACAATTCTGTGTCCCTGAGTAACGATTGTCTGTCCCTCCGTAACCGAATTCTCAGAGTCCCTGAGTAACAATTCCTTGTGTCCCTGAGTAATACAATTCTGTGTCCCTGGAGTAACGATTCTGTGTCCCACAATCAGTAACGATTCTTGTGTGTCCCTCAGTAACGATTCTGTGTCCCTGTGAGTAACGATTCTGTGTCCCTGAGTAACCATTCTGTGTCCCTCAGTAACAATTCTGTGTCCCTGAGTAACAATTCTGTGTCCCTCAGAGTAACGATTCTGTGTCCCTCAGTAACTCAAATTCTGTGTCCCCTGAGTAACAATTTCTGTGTCCTGTGTATTAACAATTCTGTGGTCTGGCCCATGACGTAACAATTCTGTGTCCCATCTAGTAACAATTCTGAGTAACAATTCAGGTGTCCCTCAGTAACATTTCTGTGTCGCCCTCAAGTAACGATTCTGTGTCCCCTCAGTAACAATTCTGTGTCCCTGTCAGTAAAAATTCTGTGTCCCTGAGTAATCAATTCTGTGTCTGGTCCCTGAGTAACATTTCTGTGTCCCCTTGAGTAACAATTCTGTGTCTGTCCCTGAGTAACAATTCTGTGTCCCTGAGTATTACGATTCTGTTTCCCTAAGTAAGAACGATTCTGTGTCCCTAACGTAACGATTCTGTGGCCCTAAAGTCTTCATCTTGGCCCTAACGACTCTGTCCCCTAATACAGACAGCGTCTGTCTCTCTTGAATAAAAAGACCGCGAGCTAATGGAGAATTAGTAAGATGGCCGCAATTTATAGCTCCAGACCTTTACACAGTGCTGGCTTGGCTGGCATGCTGATTGGCTAAGTTCGATCAGCGAATGTCATTGAATGAAGATGCAAATTATGGGTCCAAGCGCGCCTTGTCATGCGCGACCTTTCCCCAGATATCCCCGCTCGTTCGCCACACGTGTCGCCGCCTTTTTTGGGAAAAATTCGATTTGTGCATCCAAAGTTTGCTAATTTTGGGGAATTCGGGTGGGGAATTAAATTTTTTCCGGATCTTCAAAAAGGGAATTCCACTTCCCCAGTTCGATTCGTACCCTTATTTGAAACCCTTAGTGGAAAATTTGTATTTTTGTGACGTTCGAAAAGTTTGTTTGTTCCCACCCAATTTTCCCCCGGGTTTCGGGTGAACCTTTAGCCAGTTGGTTTTATCCGCCCATCTTTTGGGTTTTTTTTGGTTAGGTGTGTGTCTCAATTTTTTTAGAGGTCTAACTTTCCTTATTTGACTGTATGTTTAACTTTTTTTATATGCATTTTCCCAACCTCAATTTTAAAAAACGGGTATTTGTTGATATATGTATCTTTTATTTTGTTCATAGTCCCCAAATTTTAAAACCCTCAAAAATTGTTGGTCTTAGCCCAAACCTGTGGATAGTAAAACCCGTCTATTTTTGGGGGAAAAAGTTCCTTCACCCATTTTTTGATGCCCTTCCCCTAGGGGGCCCTTTGAATTTTAAACCAAAAAAATTTAAACCCCTTAACAAAGGGGCTGGGGCTGGT